TATATTGAGACCCTGTTGGAGTTGCTGTCTCCCTGTCTCTTCTCTCTCTTTCTCGCACAAGAAGCAACTAAACCATAAAACCAAAAACCTGGTCATACAACTTGTCTATATAGCTTCCTAGATGTCAAAGAAACTTAATTAGCAAAAGTTCTCAAAACTGACTGGCTAGGGACCAGCAGGTGGCATGGTGGTTAAGGTGCTGGACACTCCCACATGGTGGCCCACGGTTCAAGTCCTGGACCTGGTGGCTTGCTTTCTCACTTTCCCTCTGTCTCTTTCTCTCTGTATCTTTCTCCGGTCAAATTAGAACGAATGAATGAATGAATAAAATTAAATAAATAATTCTTTAAAAATTGACTGGCTAGTCTTTTTATTATAATTTTGTTAAATATTGTATTTTTGTTTTCTAGAGAAGTTAATGATGAACCAGTGTAAAGGGAAGAAATAGTTTATAATTCATTCATCTATAGCTTACTTATAGATGAAAGTAAATTGACAAAACAAAACAAAACAAAACTGGATCAGCATCTAGTCTATGTTAGCATTGTACTAGGACCTTTACAAATGACATGGCATTTAATCCCTACAATGAGACCTTGTACATAGAAAATCATTATTTCTACTTTACTGATATAGAAATGAAGGTTGATCAATTACAGACTCAAATTCATGTAACTAGTAATTGATAGAAACGAAATTCAAATGTAGGTTATCGGAGTCTAGAATCTAGAGAATTCTAAAACAATAATTGACTCTTAATATGTAAAATAATTTATGTTTTATTTAAAAATTATTACAGGCATATTTGTTTTTTAGATTTTTGCCACAAGGCTCATGTGCTCATCAGAGAGAGAATGAGAGAAATCATCCCCCAGGGGAATAATTGGATTGCAATCACTTCTCTTTCATTCTCCTCTCAAGATTTTGGGCATGCATATGTGCCTGGTGTGATTTTCAAGCTGCCAGGTCCAGGACATGGAGTCAACCATGTGGTTTCCAGCACCTTAACCACCATGCCACCTGCTGGCCCGTAGAGGCATGTTTAATGACTTCCGCTTGAGTCTCTATAGTTAGTTGTTGGACAAGAATTTTCTTTGTTGTGTAAGATCAAGAACTGAGATCTAAGCTGGCTTTGCCCAGTTCCTGGATGTTAGGTGGTTTCTTTCCCTCCCAGCAAGTGAAGTGAAGATGCAGGTGGTCTTAATAGCCCTTTATAACTAGAGTACTAGATTGTCTGAGTAAATATAACTTTTACACATCCAGAGAGGGAGACATTAGGATCCTATTCAGGTCTTGATGTACTCATGGGACTACATTAATGCTAATGGTCACCAGCACCTCAATTGGCTCCTCATTACCACTAACATATAGATAAATGCGGGTTTATAATGTTGCTAAGTTTTTCCATTCCTCTAATCAGCTTAGACCATAGTTTTTTTTCATACATTGTTATACTCTTTTACCTAATAATTTCATTCTGAATTTGAATCCAATAATATCTGGAAGAGAGAGGGTTCTTTTTGAAAAGACAGTCTTTATCTTGTGGGTTGAAGCCTTACAATTTTTCTTTCTTTTAAAACATTAAAACCAGTGAAATTATGCAATGTAGGAAGTTATTAATATAAGCCAAAGTTTGCAATACTTTCTGTTGCCATAAATCAATTTTGCAGTGCTGTTAACTTTGTTATTTAAAAAAGTGGTGAAACTCCAGGCTGTTTTCCTTTGCCTTTATTAAGTTAGTTTCAGGGACTTAAACCCTGGTTTCATCCTGTGAAGAAACTGACTCAGTTACCTCAAAGGGCTTGTTCTGTCCTCCTGTGACTTCCTTCATCAGAGTGCATTTCTTTTTTTCCCTTTCTTTTTTCCTCTTTTATTTTCTACTTTTTGTTTTGTTTTGTTTTGTTACAGGGTATGTGCTCTTGTCAGAGAGTAACAGAGACAGAAAAAGAGAGTGAAAATGAGAAATCACCTCTCAAGGGAGAATGTCCACGCCACAATGCCTTCTCTCAGGATTTTGGGCATACACAAACATGTTCCTGGCGTGACTTTCAAACCTCCGGGTCTGGGACTCAAACCACATAGCCAGCCATGTGGGCTCCAGTGCCATCACCTCTATGCCACCTGCTGACCCCAGAGTGCATTTTCCCCCCTCAATATTCATTCATACATTCATTCGTTCATTCATTCATTCATTTGCCCAGTCATAATGTCTACCATGTGTATTCCCTGCTCTAGTGGGCACTTTAAGACAAACAGAATACTCCTTTCTTGAGACAATTTTTTTTGGTCATTTACTTGTGTCCATACATTATTTAATTACTTCTACAACCCTATGAGGTAGATGCCATGATAATCTACCCCTATTTTTTCATCTGAAAAAAGCTCTTGTCTTCATAAAATTAACTTGTACCTGCTGAAATTAGTGGTAGATAGCTTAGGACTATGGGATTTCAGAAGGAAGAGACTGATAGGGGTTTGAGGTTTTCAAGGATGATCCCAGTAAGAAAATGGAATGTGAGCTAGCTTTGAGAATCAGAGGAGTGGGTAGAATCCAGATGACTGAAAGAAGGAGGGTAAGTGATTCAGGCTGAAGGGATGGCTTAGACAGATATTCACAGGCTGGTATAAATGTGACTGTTTTGATATCACCAAGTGATTTGAATATTGTTGGTGTGCAGTGGATGACAATGCCAGACTGAAATGTGGGTTTTGTTTGATATGTACTATGGAACAATTAAGGTAGAGGTTCAAGTCCTGGATCCCACGTGGCCTATTGTGTGGTTGAGTCCCAGACCTAGCAGCTTGAAAATCACAGGGCACATGTACATGTATGCCCGAAATCCTGAGAGGAGAATATAGGAAACAGTATTGTGGTGTGGTGATTCCCTTAGGGTGGATGCTTTCTCACTTTCCCTCTGTCTCTCTGCCTCTCTCCAGTAAGCACGTGCACCCAATAGCAAAACAAAAATGAAAATGAAAAATGTATAGTTTTAGCTCCTTGATCAAGCCTCATGGGACTATCTAACCAGTAGGTTCTCTCCCACTTCTGTTATGCACATTCTCATGGTTCCTACCATTTATTGCATATTTATTACATATGTTCACTTATTACTTATTATTTCTTCATATATAGTTCATCTTTTAATAACCATGTTTTAGTCTTCCCTGCCCATCTTCTACCACACAGGCTCCTGACAGTGAATATATAGAGGACACTCAATGAATATGCATTGATTTATTTATTGACTGACTATATATGAACTATAAGGAACAGTATGTACTATGTGAAAAGATGATATTAAGGCCTGGTGAAAGGACATTCAAGATTTATCTTTAAATCATCTGAATAGGGACAGTTTTTGTTAACTTCATTTTAGTCTTTATGTGTTTATGACATTTAGTAAATTGTCACTTTGTGGGATACATTTTTGTGTGTGTGATGCTTAAATACTTATAAAAGTAATAGAATTACCTTTATTTACCTAATTATGGTTTTTATTTATGATTGCTGATGAAACTAAACATTTATCCTTAATGGGAATGTGAAGCTATTTTTGGTCCCATGAATTGAGACATTATAGAAGGTATCTAATTCTTGGTATTTCTTTTTATTAAGTTTTTATGTGAAGTTATTTTTATCTTGTGGCTGTTTTTACATGGTGGTAGTATCCCTGCAACACATAATATTAAACTAGAAGTATTAGCAAACAACTAATTCAATCTATTCATTTTACAGATGTTGAAACTGAGTTCCAAAGAGTACAAGTGAATAGCCCAAGGTCACACTCTAGTCATTGTAAGAGCTATGTCTACATATTAGGGCTTACTGGTTCCTAATTCTCTCATTCTGTAAGCACACATTGTATAGTTTGATTTTTGAACCTTAGATTGACATTGTTTTAATGAATTGAAACAACTTTTGATTATTTCTCTTATTTTACACCAAGAAAGTGAATTAGTGCCTATTAAAGTTTTTAAGAGTATTTTAAATAGAAACACAGCATGACCAGTTTATTATGATGTCTATCAACATAAAGGAAACATGAATATCATCTTACTTATTTACATTTCTGAAACTTCATTAAGGTACAAGATTTCACCTCCTCCCCCCATTGGTGAGTTCAGTGAAAATAGTTCTGTGATTTTTTTTTTAAATTTTGTTTTGTAAGATAATTTTGTACTGGGCACTATACTAATATTTGCAATAACAGTGTGAAGGATTGTTTAAAACACTAAAAATAATTAGTCTCATCCAGGAATAGAGAGATAAACAGAGTGAGTCAAGATAAAATTGTGCTGTGATATGAAAATGTGAGAGAAAATACCATTCAGTTTTTGGGGAAAAACACGAAACATCACGACTGTTCTGAAACTCCACTGTGTAGCAGTAGCGGTGTAAAACAAAAGATCATTTACTACTTTCCCACTTCAGCTTTTCAGTTTCATCAGAAGAATAGTGAAATTTTCAATTCTCTAAAACTTCTGCCTAGAATACAGGGGTCTACAAGATGCAAAGAATTAAAAGTGAACAAAGAATTCAAAGGAACTCAGAAGATTAATTTTTGTGAAGAACATTCATGGAGATTTGTCTTTCTGAAAAAGCATTTTACAATCTAAATTACACCATATCACTTGAATACTCAATGACTGATATCAAGTGGTGGCTAGTTGAAGCACACCCTATCCTAATTTAAACTTTATCTTTGCCATCTTTTAAAATAAAAATGAATACTGGAAATTCCCCCAACCCATGTTCTGAAAGGATGCATTCATACAGTTCAATATTCTTGAGGTTCAGAGGCAAATTCGGGGTTTAAGAATGAGAATTCTGATTTGAAACAAAACCAGAGACCTGTAATGTCTGACTTTCTTGCTAAGTCATGGAGACACACATGGATGGGTCAGTGTTTTGTTTTGTTTTGTTTTTTCTTTTTTCCCTGACTCACTAAATTCACATGACACAGGACAAATACAGTCTTCATGAGGCAAACATAACTTACCTGTACCATTGTTAACTGTGGTCTGGATCGTGGCTTCTGGCCCCATAGTGTCATAGTCTTCCTTCATTTCTTCTGTGGGGGAAAATTATCTTTAGCATTTGAAAATTGTAGAAAGCCTTACTATACTAAACATGCCAAGCACAGGAACAAGGAAGATTCTTTTAAAGGAAACAGAGAAAAGGCTTGTTGTAAACCTCTAAACAATAGCTTTGTTCAGGCAATTGAATGAATCCAATAGTGCTAGCTGTACAAGAACTTATTTACTTTAAGCATTACTGCAAGCTGTGAAAAACAGAGGTGCTTATTTGGAGCAAACGAAGGGCTTTTCTTCTGGTGGCAGTTCTAGTGACAAACAGGGGGAAAGATATTATTTTTTCAATAAGAGTCAAAAGCAACTAAGTATTTGTACTTATGAAGAGGCACGCTAGCTGCTATGCCTCTGGTTAAGTGAATGCTTAGTGGCAAGTTAGAATTTCTTATTTTATTTTCATGCTTTTCTTTCCCCTTGGGGTAGCTATGATGGTGCTAATCTATGCAAGCATATTTTTAAGAAAAACTAATTTTACATATCAAAACTCAGAATGCCCAGTTTATAGAACAAACATCCCAGAGGTATCAAAAATATTTATTTCACTGTTTTAAATAAACTTTTAAAACATACCTTCCTTATTATTTTCTCAACCACTCTATAAATATCTTTTCCTCCTTATCTTTTATGCCTACTTGGTAATCATAGTCATTTTCTGAGGAAAAATATATAACAATAGCTCAAAGTTCTGATGAAGATGAAATGTGTAACATTGAGGTTGAAGATTCAAAAATGATTAAAGGCCCTCTTCAAAAGATGCAATATTTTAAAATAAAGGAGAGTTTGAAAAATAGGGGAACTCTTGAATTTTCTGCCTACCAGATTATAGATTATGCAGAGGGCAGAACAGGACAGCTTACAGCTGAAATGTATTTAACTATAATTTACTTACTTGAAAGAAGGTAAATTAAAGATGAACTTTAACATTTTGTACTTTTATAATGACAGTGCTAATGAGAGCCAAACATGCTCTAGGATGAATATCTCTAAGATAGTCATTTTACTTAAAACAAGAGAAACTGTGTAAGTAGGACTCAGTGAATTCCCAAATTTATCCTGATTATTCTTTGCTTATCACTCTAGTCTTCTTTGGTGGAAGAACAGGATCCAGCAATTGTTACAGCGAAATTAAAATACATTTTACAAGCAGTGTCCTACAGAATACCTGTTTATGGCATCGGAGCTGAAAAACTATGGTCCTCTTAAGTTAAAAATACACAGATACACATAGATGGTAATTTAATGCCACCGTTTATCATAGTCAGGTCATTTGAGTAACATTTTTTTTTTTTAAGCTACAGAACCACTTTACATTCATTTCTGATCCTGGATTTCTCCTTTATTTAAGGAATTTTTTTTTCCACAGGGACATTTGGCATAAAACATTCAGAAGTTCAATGTATAGCAATATCGTACTGTCAATCGTAATAATCGATCGTTCCCTCATCTGTTTATCAGTCTCTGCAAGGAATTAAATGAAGGTATTTCTGAGAAGTTCAGTAGTAGATATAAATATAGCTTTTGTGTCCTTCTTCCTCGCTCATCTCATGTGATTTCTGGTAGTCAAGAGTCACAAGAATCATAAGGTTTCCATCTGAGAGCACATCAAGTCACTGAGGGGAAAACAGTTAACAGCATTTTTTTTTTTTTTTGCATAATAGTGGTAATGTTCAAGGTTTCTGCTGTACTTCCTTCCTCATTGTCATTTTCTTATGAAAAAGTAAAGAGAAGTTACAGTAGGTGGTTGCTTCCCAAATAATAAATGCTGGGTATACAAACATGGAGTTGGCACTGTGTGCACTTGTGTCCTTCTTCCTCGCTCATCTCATGTGATTTCTGGTAGTCAAGAGTCACAAGAATCATAAGGTTTCCATCTGAGAGCACATCAAGTCACTGAGGGGAAAACAGTTAACAGCATTTTTTTTTTTTTTTTGCATAATAGTGGTAATGTTCAAGGTTTCTGCTGTACTTCCTTCCTCATTGTCATTTTCTTATGAAAAAGTAAAGAGAAGTTACAGTAGGTGGTTGCTTCCCAAATAATAAATGCTGGGTATACAAACATGGAGTTGGCACTGTGTGCACATTGCACTCTGAGGTATTATTTAGCTATAACCCTCTTTTATCAAAGATTGTGCAACTGAGCGTGACTATCAAGCTCAATTCATTAAAACGAAACACTAAGCCTTTTCAGGTATGTATCTGAAATATTATGTCTGTGCCTATTTAATCAAGCTTCAAGTGAATCCATATTCAGAAGGACATAATGATACATGGTTTAGGAATATCTCCTCTTAATTAATGGCAGTCCTGGCTGTCTTCCTGCCTCACACTGGACCTTAAACATTTTCCGAGACACCTCTGACTCAGCATACTATGTCTAAAACCACATAGGATATTTATTTTTAAAACACTTGTAAAAGTTTGTATTTTCCAGTCACCCTTGGTTCGAAGGTTTGTAAAAATAAAGAGCACTTTCTTCCTTAAGATGAAGAATCCTTGAATAAGCAGAAAGAAGCCAAGATGCAGGTGATTTATTTAAGTCTGTGTCAATGATAATGATGTCATGGTTTCCAGCACACTGTGTCCACCCCATTGTGGGACGAAAGAATGTCAAGGACAATTCCAAACACAAAACTTTGATTGTGCTGGCACCGGAAAGGCACAGTAAGAACTCCACTGTGCTCTTCAGTTCAAAACCTGCATCCTGCAGACAAACTACAGAAAGCATGGGAGAAAGAGCAATGGACAGGGTGCTTATCTCAGAGTAAAGCTATGTGCTGAGGTATGACTGTAGACAGCCAGGCACCAGGGATAAAACACTACTAAATAAAACAGCACCAGAATTAGAATTATTGTCTATATTGTGTGTTTTGAACAATAAATAAGAAAAATATTTTATCAGAAGAAAAATGTGTTATCTACGAGTCAGGATAAACAATGAGTCGCTTTTTAAGACCAATTTCTTTTCATTAGACATCAAGGCACCACATCAGAGCACTTTTAGAACAATAAAAAAAAGAACAATAAATCATTACTAATCATTAGAACTAGACAGGTAATAGCTGGGTAACTTTCTTGGTCCAAATAGCCAAATGAGATTAGGGACTTACATTTGATTTAATTATTGTGACTCCAGAATGCCAGTTTATTTACCATAAAGGTAAGAGCGGAGAACAGCCTGCTCACTTGTATCACAGGCACCATTAACTACAGGTGATAACAGGCTCTGCTATGCATGCATATGGATTACTGTACATGGAAATCTTTAGAATTATGATCCATGACCAACACAAAAAGCTGCCACAATCACAGCTACTACCACTGGATATGGCTGTTTTGGCTGTTGTTCAACTATTGATCTTAATTCTTTTTAATTCAACTTTATTTTTTAAAGAAGTTTAGGTCGGTACATTTGTTATATCATTATTAATTATTCCTTTAAGGGTGGAAATTCTAGTAATTGGTCCTTACCCTTGATTTCTAGATATTAAAATTTAAAGCATCAGAACATTCATTCTTATAGCCCTGCATATCTAGTTCATTAACAAATATGAATAGCTAACACCAGCTCATTTAAATAGTATGTCTTACATGAGTTCTCGCCACACTCTGTTTCTGTCACACTGCTCCCAAGAATCATTGGCTCTTATTATACATGTAAATGGCTATCATAAAAATAAAAATTTCATTTAAGATTGTTAATGACTTCTGCAGCAGTCAGACTTCCTTTAATGATCATCCTCTGCCCCTAATTAAACGTATTTATCTTTCAAGCATCTTTGGCTGAGTTCTCCCTCATAGTTGAAAATCTAAAACCTTAAGTCTTAATGGATATAACGATAAATGTTTATGTGTGGGATTGCTGAGATTTGAGAAACCTTCACCGAAAGCAAAATTGGAAACAGAAAGAGTACAAAACTTGGCACAGTATGTTAGGAAACGAAAAACAAATATACTACACTCAAACTGCCATCGGTCTTTTTTCTTTTTCTCTTTCTTTTTTTTTTTTTCATGTTTAATTTTCTTGAGTAGTGGAGTGCCTTTATTATCCCTCTACCAAACAATTATTCTGTCTATGTTCAACGTTTTATAGTTTGCAACATCACAATAGCATATAGGTAGATGCCTTCCCACTCACTTCACCTATTTATTAAAATGCAGTTGTTATTTATACTGCCAGAGAGAATACAAGGTGGGGTGAATACTGATAACTCTCCCTGGGTCCTGGGAATGAAGATTAAGGAAACAGGAAGGTCTGAATTAGAGGGACAGTTAAAAAAATATTCCATGGCTTCCTTACTAAGATGAGCAAAGGGAGTTTATGAGAATATGATTTCTGGTATACTGTTAAACATTTCCCAGCTTAGTAATGCTTCACCATGAATGGATTTTAGACGAAGAGATTTTTCGTTTGTACAGTGGCATCTAAAGTTTTAGTTTGAACATAGTTTACCTTATTTTTACTATAGCTGGCCTTGGACCATTTTTATTTCCCTTGAGATTCCCAGCAAAGAGCAGGAATCATTATCAAGTACTTAGCTGTTAAATAATAAGAAAGCTACCTGACCAGGTAAAAGTGTGAAATCACATTCACACTTAACAAAAGGGAATGATTAGATGGTTGAATTACAATAGGAGGTGTCAGACAGACAGGGAAACTACATTAAACTGACAGTTATTTGATTTGAAATGCTACATAATTTCCACACAAAACATTTATGTGTGTGTGTTTGTGTGTGTGTCTGTGTGTGTGTGTGTATACACGTTATGAGTTTTTTAAGAATTGCTTCCATTTTCTAACATGAAAGTACAGTATAGTTCTTGATTATATTATATAGTTGTAAATGTGGTGCAAATACTTCATGTTATGTGTTGAAAATGTAGTTTATATTCAACTTGCATCAAAACTGAAATATAATCCCTTCCTAAAATGTAAGTGCTGTAATGTGATAACATTACCATCATTTCATAATCTGTCACCAGCTCTGGTATCTCTATTCAGCAAGGGCGATGGAAGAAATATTTTAATTATTTTGTTGCGGACAGTCCGCTAGGTAATATAGCTGATGTGAAGATGGCCCAGGAAGGGGCCATGTCATTTTAGACACTTACCTGGACCATCTACAGAGGCTTGAAGAATCTCGTTGTTGTGCCAGGTATGTTCCACTCCACCCTCCCTTATCTCATCTTCCTCTTCCTCTCTTGGCAACAGAGCTTGGCTCACGTGTGGGGAGGACTCATGGTTGGGCATGCTAGCTGGACTCGTCTCCTGGTCCAGAGCGTTAGCAATACCGTCATCCTCAGCAATATGAAGCTTGTCCTCCTCATCTGTTTCAGAACCTGTGTCCACTACATTGTCATAGTT